CAAGTTGCTTCGCACTGGCCAAGATGTCCTCCGCACCGCAGTGGTTGAAAGTTCATCATGTAGAGTACCTTTAGGCCTTCTATGATACGCTCAGTAGTAAATCATATAGTAAATCTATGTAAATCTATATTTATGTATAATTAATCTATCTAAATCTATCCTGGAATGATCGGAATTTTGAGTCTCTTTGCTAATTGTATAGACAACATCAAACCATGAAATGACTTCTCTGCCGGCCGCATGTTGCACTATGTCATGCCATGGTTTATTCATCACCTGTCTCCACTGATCTCCACTATATGGCACCATATATTGAAAAGTCTGGGGCTCAATCTCGCGTGGCGTTGCCTGCGCATAGGCCTTGCCGCCACCAGCAAACCTAGCACTTCATTTGGCTCAGTGGTGAAGGATGCTTTCATTTTCTTATTACGAAATATTGCGAACATTTAGGAACGATCCTAATGAACTGTGCCACTAGAAGATCAACCAAGTTGGCGGCACAGAAGCACGTCAAATCTCCGCACTAAGCTCTGCACAACCACATGACGAACTCGATGAAGTCGACTTCTCCGTTGTGATTTGTGTCGCAGCCTTGGATTGCCCATGCTTTCCCTTTTCCTGTAGATTTATCATCTAACGTTGTCTAACGTTGTCTAAGTTACTAAGTGCATCTTGAGTTTTAGATCTGTTTAGATCTGTTTAGTTCGATCCAACCAGGGTCCTAACCCCTTCACCGAGTCACTTGCAAAGAGTTCCTGCAGTTCCGCATCCGTGAGATGTGGCTGTATGGACTTCATCACCTCGGCCATAACTTTGGACAGGGCAAAATCACCAAGGAAAAAAAAACAGCACCAGAATGACATAGAATTACTATGCTTAATTATGATTAATTACTGTTATGTACTATTATGCACTATGATCTATTATGATCTATTAAGAAAAATATTGCGATCTATTGCGATCCATTATGACCTGATATGTACTGTCATGTAAATGATTTCCTATGATAATGCTGATTAACATTTACTAACCTCAACAGCTGCACCATCCCAAGACCATGCCATGTGGCCCATCCCAACTCCATGCCATCGATACAACCAGTGCCGCTGGCGTCCTGGGATGTCGATGTCACATGTAGTGATGGCCTATGAACCGAATGTAGGATTGGACGAAAGATATATGGATTGGATTGGATATATGTGGTTATCTATTTATAATCCTATGTCAATCACAAGTTATGGATTGGATATCAATGAAAATGATTGAAAGATATTGAAAGCTGAGCATCGTAATGCTGAAAGATGGTGAGTGCTGGCTGCAAGAATGAAGAGCGCATCCTTAGGCCAACTTGATGGAAACATCGGTGTTGATCAGTTGATCCACATCTTTTTGGGGGTCTGACAAGGTTCCTCCTATGTTCCCCCTATCATGCCACAAACCTGATACAAGACTTGGATTGCAATGTTCAAGCAGGTAAAGATCAACAGATGCACACTTGTCGAAATATGTCGAAATTACTGTATCGTTTTGTCTTTACTCCACCCTGTCTCTATCTGTCTCTACTGTTTCCAGGCTTCCAAATGACTCACCAAGTCGGTTATACCGTTATACCCTGCCGAAGAACAGTAAGCTTCGGATCTCGTGCGTTTTCGCAACCTGCACCAGGAACCCAGGAACGGAGCGACAAAGTGGGCTCCACAGCCAACAGCCTCTCCTAAAGATCCTTATGAAAGTAATGGATCCCTATGGCCTAATTTTCATTTGACAGTAATTTGAAAGTGGCGTTATACTATGTTATACTATGTTATACTCCTGTACTACAACTTCTGCACTTTAAGCCATTTCTACCAAGTATACCAAAACCTTTTTGACATGTGTCCAAAGATTTCCAAAGTGTGTAATGTAATGAACACGTCCATCCCAGTGGAGTTTTTTTCCACCTCCAAAGGCGTCTTGCCATCCCCAGCGAAGCTGGTGGCGTCGGCACTGAGGTCCAATAAGAACTGCACCATCTGAGGATGTCCAGCTCCTGGGTTGACCGTTGACCCTATGGTTGACCCTATGGCGCGGGGGCGCTAGGGGGTCTTGGAAGGATTGGCGTGGAATCAATCATCCTGCAATATCCAAACGTCATCCAAAAAGCATCAAAATCATGAAAATCCACTTCAGGTTCATCAGGTACCAGGTTTTGTGTAGCTGGAAACAGGTTTTTCAGGCAATTTCAGGGCCTCAGCTGCCCAGCTTCCTCACAGTAGGCTGGCCAAGGGTCGTGCAGCATAGTGGAGCGCCGACCAACGTCCTTCGATCTCCTTACTGAGAGGTCTGGTCACCAAGATCCATGATCAGAACAACTAACAAACAAAAGTGAAAAGCGCCTTCAACAGACGACAATTGTACAACATCAACGGAGAAGCCGGTGCTGGTGACTGATTAAAGTCAAGACTCAATGTTGACCAAGTTCGGTCGTTCGGACAGGATTTTCTTTGCTTTTTCCCACTGATGGTCTTTGCAAAGTTCCACGAATTGGACACCTTGGACACTGAGTAGCACTTGGGATGCCATGTTGGTTGCGACTCAGAATCTGGCTGGCACATGCTGCACATATCTGCACATGTCCTAATGTGCCGGGTGAGTTCATCAGGTCATTGCATGCCATTGCACTGACCTACCCGGATTCTACGTGGCTATGGTGGCTATGGTGGCTATGGTGGCTATGGTGGCTATGGTGGCTATGGTGGCTATGGTGGCTATGGTGGCTATGGTGGCTATGGTGGCTATGGTGGCTATGGTGGCTATGGTGGCTATGGGCTATGGATTTTAAAAAATGCACAGCACATCACAGCACTATCGTTTTTTGGTTTGACATGGTTTGACCCATCCCCACATCGCAGAGTTTTCCAGCAGGCCATCGAATTACAGCCGCAGCACCATAGCTGGGTGGACCTTCAAACATAGCTCTGCAGCTGGGTCAAATTGGGTCAACATGGGTCAACCATTGAAGGACCTGTACATCCTGTACAATGGTTACAAGGCTTCAAGTAGTCTTTGCTACATAAGTCATCATAAGTCATCATAAGTCGACTAAACCATCCTAAGGCCCTTGGGGAATCCACACTTGGACCTGCAAAGTCCATCAATTTCCCATCTCACAAACGATCAGGGATGCTGCATTCGCAAACAGCTCCTTTGTAGCTATCGTCTTTGTCCCCTCTGCAACCATGAACCTCTCCATATTGAGGGCCCAAGACTGCGAACATCAGCGGCCTCAGCACTTGGTCTTTGCTGAAGTCACGGGTGAGGTGACACATTGTTTTTTTTCTGCTGAACAAGTCCAAGGAAGAATAACTTCCATTTTGCTGCAATGTCATGTGGTCAGGAAACCCTTTGCAACGTAGCTCCCTCCCTTCACCACTGGGTACCAATTTAGCTCTTCAAGTGACTCATTGATTGCTTTCCCCGCCGCTGTGCAAAAGTTTTGGCATTTGCCGTTGTATTTCCTGAGGCATGTGGCAAAGACTAAGGTGCCAAGATTGATCTACAATGTTTTTTCAAATAACTATTGCTATGGATAGTCCCTGCATGGACTACCTCATTTGTAATCTTTTCTGGACTGCACCAATGACCAACGCATCTTAACATTCTTAGCTTATGAAAATACTTTGTGAGAGCAACTTCTGGCCAGAAGCTGCCTTTTTCCGTAAAAACATGTACTGGTACAACTGGGTAGCATCTTTGCAGGCTCGCTCCAGTGTCACAACAGCATCAAACTCTCTCATTTTCCAAAGTGCTACAGTCATGTATTGCAAGCGATCGGATTTTTTGAAACTTGAATATCTATGGATATCCATCATCATCATGTGTTTAACAGTCTTTAAGCATGTTTAATGTAACATTTAACATCATTCAACCTCATTCAACCTCATAAAAAACCTTGTTTAATTCACCATGTTTAACCACTTTTACGTACTTTTACTGTTTATATCTGTTTATCACGAACAGGACCAGCGATACAAAAAGCGTCTCTTGGAAGGCTGTGGGATCCACCAAGGCGGTGCCGGCGCCACAAATGGCCACCACATCGGGCCACTTCTCGGTCTGCCGCGCCAGCGCCAGGGGATGCGCAAAGGGCTCCTCTCGTGACCAGTGGATGTGAGAAATTCTGGCGCTTTAGGGCTTTATTAATACATCTTTAATACATCTTGAATACATCTTGAATACATCTTTAATACATCTTTAATCATCTTTATACCTTTGAAATCCTTTGTCAAAGATCAAAAATCATCTCACAGATGTTGTGTCATTTTGTCATCTACAAGTATGATGCTGTGCAAATGTCCAAAGATTCTGTGCAACGCCACACTCGCGTTTCTCAACCATGAAAATTTCTAAGAGTCTGGAACTCCTTGTTCGATCTGACTTCTACTCGGAACGGAAGCCCCTTTGTCACCACAAATACGGCTCCTTGCAATCCCACTCCTGTGGTGAGCCTTTCTGAGCTGTCGGGGCAGGTTTGGTCGATTTCCGGATTACAAAAACGGCAGGTATGAGAAGCTTTATATGACAGGTAATATCGATTCATATCTACTAGATATATCTAGATATTATATGATATTACTATACTTACTATGCAATTCTGAATGACACTTGGCTTTTCAAACCTTATTCCTGTCCAACAATCCTAGGATTCACCTCAACTCATCACAGCTCAGCGCAGCCAAGTAACAGCTGGAACTGCAAAAGTGGAATCCGGGGCTCCTGCCGTGCCCAGATGGGAAATGGGTTATATATGGTTATTATAAGTTATACCTCCATTGCTTATTATATATGGTTACAATATTGCTTACAAACAATCTCATATGGTTATGATACGCAATGATGTGTGTATATATATATATATAATTACATATTATGATATGTATTTATATTGCACTAAACAAAGTTTGATGATATAGCCAGTTTACAACCAGTTGGTGGCTTCAATCGGGTTGAAAAATCCTGCTGTGTCATACTGCATCCATGTTCTTTGCTCATGACAACCAGCGGCTTGGTGCAACTCAGGACAAAATGTCACAACAAAAGCATGTAAAGCATGTAAATCATGTAACAGAAAGGCTCTTCCAATGAAACAAGGCACTGGTATAACTCCAAAGTACAATACAATCATGATCAATTATGTACAGTATCAGTTGCAACCTGGGAGAATTAATTACTTAGAGATATCCTAGGCTTCGCTGATCATGCCCCGGGATTTTTTTTCCCCCCAGTCCTCAGGAAGCAGTTCTCAAAGCGTGATGCACAACACTGGGTTTCACTGCAGGACTCGCCAGAATTGGAACAAATGTCGTCGGCCTTCAAGAAGCGTCCCACCTTTGACTGAAAGACCTGAGACAGCGGCGGCCCTGGCCCTGGAAGCTATGGATGTCGTGGATGTCGTGGATGCCGTGGATTGCGTGGTAGGTTCGACCCCCAAGTGCACAAACTAATCACTGACAACTCTCAGAGAAATTCCATGAAAGTCCTTGATATTGATAGGGAAAAAAAAAGGACGCTTGGATGAGGCCCTAAAGGTTGGTAAGTACAGTAGTATGGTCCAGTATGGTCGAGTATGGTCCAGTATGGTTGTATCAGAAGGCTTCTTCCGAACCTTTCCATGCCTGGCCTGTTTGAAGTGCGCCTCATTTTGCGCAGCCATCATGAAGAAGGCAAGCACCGCGGCGAAACCAACAGCAAGGCACAACATTGCGAAAATTTGACGAGAACCAAAATGGCTGTCAACGTAAGCTTGAGCCAGAATAGACCATGTAGATCCATGTAGACCATGCTAGGCTTGAACTTTGGAGTGAGATGCATAGCTGCATTAGGTCGTTAGAGCCATTCGATTCATTCTAAGAACTGCAAAGTTTCTTAATATGGTGATATGATGTGATATGTCAATGCGTCAAAACCCTGGTCCTCTTGGATCCCTTGGTAGATGGATGTTTAGTATTGCTATAATGGATGTTTAATGGATGTTTAATGGATGTTTAGTATTGCTTAATGGATGTTTAATGGATGTTTAATGGATGTTTAATGGATGTTTAATGGATGTTTAATGGATGCTTAATGGATGCTTAATGGATGTTTAATGGATGTTTAATGGATGTTTAATGGATGTTTAATGGATGTTTAATGGATGTTTAATGGATGTTTAATGGATGTTTAATGGATGTTTAATGGATGTTTAATGGATGTTTAATGGATGTTTAATGGATGTTTAGTATTGCTTAATGGATGTTTAGTATTGCTTAATGGATGTTTAATGGATGTTGGGATTGCTTAATGGATGTTTAATGGGTGTTTAATGGATGCTTAAAAGATGTTTCATGGATGTTTAGTGTCGCTTAATGGATGTTTAATGGATGTTTAATGGATGTTTAATGGATGTTTAGTATTGCTTAATGGATGTTTACTGGATGTTTAATGGATGTTTAATGGATGTTTAATGGATGTTTAATGGATGCTTAATGGATGCTTAATGGATGTTTAATGGATGTTTAATGGATGTTTAATGGATGTTTAATGGATGTTTAATGGATGTTTAGTATTGCGTAATGGATGTTTAATGGATGTTTAATGGATGTTTAATGGATGCTTAATGGATGCTTAATGGATGTTTAATGGATGTTTAATGGATGCTTAGTATTGCTTAATGGATGTTTAGTATTGCTTAATGGATGTTTAATGGATGTTTAATGGATGTTTGATGGATGTTTGGTGGATGTTTAGTATTGCTTAATGGATGTTTAATGGATGTTTCATGGATGTTTAATGAATGTTTAGTATTGCTTAATGGGTGCTTAATGCATGTTTAATGGATGTTTAGTATTGCTTAATGGATGTTTAATGGATGTTTAATGGATGTTTAATGGATGTTTAATGGATGTTTAATGGATGTTTAGTATTGCTTAATGGATGTTTAGTATTGCTTAATGGATGTTTAATGGATGTTTAATGGATGTTTAAAGGATGTTTAATGGATGTTTAATGGATGTTTAATGGGTGTTTAATGGATGTTTAATGGATGTTTAATGGATGTTTAATGGATGTTTAATGGATGTTTAATGGATGTTTAATGGATGTTTAGTATTGCTTAATGGATGTTTAATGGATGTTTAATGGATGTTTAATGAATGTTTAGTATTGCTTAATGGGTGTTTAATGCATGTTTAATGGATGTTTAGTATTGCTTAATGGATGTTTAATGGATGTTTAATG